GCCCCTGGTCTGCTGGAGACGGTCTCCAGCAGACCAGGGGCACCGGAGCAGCTTACGAACGGGGCTCTCTCGCCCCGGAGCTCGCAGGTAGCAATCCACCACTTCGACCTCCGGGGTGAGAAAGCCCCGTTCGTAAGTGCGGATCCGACATAAGTCGGATCCACGTAAGTCGGGGATTGCCTGTATGTGATTCATGATGGGGCTCACAATTCAAAACATAGTATTTCCTACCCATGTGTTTGCCTTGTCTTCTATAGCTGTAATCAAATTGATTCCTTTTTCCACAAGAAAATTCTAATTCTTTTTGTAGAACATGATGTGATGAAGCAAAATGCAGGACAATGTAGCACTTTAAAGACTAACAAGATGGTTTATTAGATGATGAGCTTTCGTGGGCCAGACCCACTTCCTCAATTGATTTAAAGAACTACCCCCATATAGTTTCTATTAGAGGGTCTTCAAATTACCTGAAAGCTAGTACCTATGGGGCTGATTCAGCCCATTAAAGACAATGTGAAGGCAACCACTGATTCTAACGGATTCTGGAACTTGCCCTATCTATATTACAGAAAAAAATCATAGAGGAGAATCAGAGTTTGAGCAAAATTTGCAGAATTTTAAAGTAGTGTTAAACACATTTTAGATGAGAGGTACAAAATTAACAAAAGTAAAAAATCTTTAAACTTTTCTTAAAACTTCAAGTATTTGCCTTAAACTTTACAAAAAATACAGATGCACAAGAGAACAGCAATTCAACACATAGGTGAAAGTTACTTATTTTTCCCCACCTAAAATATTAACCTTTTTTTTAAAAAAATAGGCACAGAAAGAACACTGAATATTGTGTGATCCCAATACTCAAACACAAACTTTAGAAAAATATTATAGTGGGATAATTGAGGAATTATCCCAGAGTTATTGTCTGAACTAAAATATACATTCAAATTTATAATATCCATCAGATTATACTATATTATACATCCATATATTTCTCAACTATATCTTATCAATATGTAAATCCACAGTGTTGTGTAGAAAATATTCTTTATCACTAGACAGTTCCTCTCTTGCCAGATTAAGCAGTTCTCCCACCTAAAATGGAAAATTATAAAAAAAAATTAAAATTCTGGTATGGATGCTTATTCAGATCTATACATCCTTATTATTTAACACAGCTCCTCCCTGCCTTTAGGGAAGGACAAATAACTTTTCCTCTCTCACTGGTCCTGCTGTGAGCTATACTATAGGATCTTGGATGGCAAAGGCTGCTCTGGGGATGCTCTGATGCTTTAATCATGACTGTCTTTTGAATCTGCTATTCCCTCCTATATAGTCCCCCGCCTTGCTACAGAGAAAGTTGCAGCTGCCTTTTACCACTGCATCTTCCAGCAATTTTTAAAACTAGGGAGCAGAGGTTGGCCGAGAGTGGTGCCTGCGACTGTGGGGCCTGTTTCCGCTCCTGCATCCGTTCACTCGTCCAGGCAGAGTATCAATCTTACCATTAGCATTAAAACAGAGTTTTTTCTTCTTGTAAGCTGTGTAACCAGCTACTGTTCCGACAATTAACAGCACAAGCACAGAAACCACAGGTGATGTAACACCAGCCACTACTCCAGAATCTATTGAAAGAAAAAAAAACATATTATTTCAATAAAAGAAGGAATAAACCAATAAAAGAGCAAACTCATTTTAAAATTCATAATATGGACACTGACCCTTAATGGCAAATCATTGCAAACACAGTGTGACACAAGAGAGGGTTGGCACAATGCTTGAATTCCATTTGCAGTATGAAATAAAATGGTTAAAAAAACCCCATAAGGACCAGAAACCACATTACTCCAGACAAAAAAAGAATGATGTATATACACATATATTTTATATATGGTTTTAAACTCTTTTGGTTCTCTACTATGATCCTAAATATGCCATAAGATAATGTGTATACATTATTTACTGACCAGTGTTTCCACCATGATTGACATTACTCTCCCTGTCTCCTGGAAAAGAGAAAATAACTTTGTAGTTATAAGAAACTTCTTGGAAAAGTGTCACAGCTGACACACAGCAAAAGAATAACAACAAATGCCATGCAAAGACAGCCTACCAAATGGTACCTGGTTAGAACCAGGGATTGGAAGTAAGGAGATGTGGGTTCTATGCCTGCCTTGGACTGTAACTTTTTGGGAACACATTGTGTCCCTTTTCTGTCTTAATTTCCTCAGAATTATCCTATTAATCACCCCCAAACTCCAATAAAATGTGGCTGAAACTGCTTACTTACTTTCATAAAAAATGTGAATTTCAAATAAATCTCCCATTGCATAGATCATGAGACAGCAGAGTAGCCAGAGTGCTGTAATATCCTTACTAGTCTCTGGGGAGCCATTGGCTAATTCACTATACGCCAATACTTCCACCTTTACTCCCTCTCAATAGCCCCTTAATCTGTAAGTAGTCCCACTGAATTCAACAGACTATGGGCCTAATCCTTCAGGGATATACAGTATGTGGACAAAGAGATTGCTCAATACAAGTAAAGGTAGGAAAATCTGGCCTTATACCAGCTAGAGGCAAGTCTAAAGCAAAGCCTGGCAGATGTGAGACATGACTATATGAGAGAGGCTGTGAAATATTCAATAGAATTGGCATACAGTACCTGCAGGCCTTGGGGGTAGAGGTTTCCCATCATTGAGATCTAAGTCATTGAAGCCATCTGTAAAATTAAAACAGTCATTTTTCAAACTTCCCTGAAATTTCCCCCCTCTCTTCCACTACCATCACCTGTTTATTCCTGGTGTCCTAGGAAAGGATTATTCCCCCAGATTCCTTAAAGAAAGACAGACCTTTTGGGCATTGAGCCCACTTTCTCTCTGTCAGCTCAAGGTCAAACATTAGAGTCTATTTGAAGGCTAGAATTCCAATCATGTCAATAGAAAATTGTTGGTTCCTATCCATTCCCAGGATAAGGACAGCTAAATTTGTAAGCAGGAGTGCAAGGGAAAACAGGATGATTATAAACATGATTTTAGGGTCTAGTATCTTGTAAATCGTTCCAGCTAGATATGTTTTCTTGGCCAGAGACTAAGACCCAATAACCTTTTTCAAAAAGTGGACCCGAAACATTGATCAAAAAGAAAAAAACAAACAAGTTTAAACAAAATAAAGCAAACCAAAAGTTTCCTACAATAGTTAATAAATAAGTGCACAACCAGAGAATATCGTCCAGCAAATAAATAAAAATCTGACCTAAATACTTTTTAATTCTAAGATTTGTAAGAGAAAATATTCTTACCAGAATGGCTATATCTTCCTGGGTGAGCAGGTGGATTTGGTTGAGGTTTTGGGTGGTTGTCTATTGATAATAAATATTGTAAGAAGGAAGGGGAAAAATGAGATTCAATAATAATTAATAATAATTTGAAGGAGCTACAAACAGTAGGAGCAAAAATATAATTTAAAAAGGACCTGCGACAATTGTAAATATAGGAAGAGGGGAAAAATGAGATTCAATTTTGAAAAATATAGACTAACATCTGAGGAAACGGGTATCAAAGAAAAAAACCTGAAAAGGCTGAAAGGTGTGTAGATGAGAGAGGATGGTATATGGGGCCTGGTTTCTAAATATATGTGATTTGATAGTAAAAAAAAAAAAAAAAAAGCCACTGCAATTTTTAGCCTGCAAACACAAAGGCATAGTGTAACAACAGGGAAGTAATAGTCCCTCTATATACCCCATTCAACAAGGTACTTAAGCATGTGTATTAATATACGTATGTGACTAGTCCACACTGAGTTGTGACTATTGTTCTCTTACATTTCAAGTTACAATATGCTTAACTACCTTGCTGAACTAAGGCCTGTGAGACCACAACTGGATTAACTGCACATGGCTCTAGACTCCTCACTTCTAGAAATATATAAACAAACTGAATACAGCTATTGCTATAATAGGAGGAATTAAGGCAGGGATGGGGAACCTCCAGCCCATGGGCTGGACGCAGTTTGTTAGCATTAGCAGCTGGCCAGAGGTTCCCTGCCCATGAAGTAAGGGACTGATTTATGAGAAAAGGATAAGAGAAGTACTGTATAGTTTGGCTAAGTCAAAGGGGTTTTTTTTGTGGAAGAGCAGATGAGCTCTTTCAGAATTCCTGTCTTCCTCATGCCATGAGGAAGAAGAGTTCTTCTGAAAGAGAGTTTTTTTTTCCTGAAATTTGGCCCATTATAGACGGGCTAAGGCATGCAAATTGCTGAGTGCAATTTGCAGACCTTTTTCCAATAAAGCCCCGTAGTGTTGACATAGCCTAATGCTATACATGGGCATAACATTTAAAGATACAGGCTAATATTTTTAAAATATGCCTGTGATTTATAATCTGAAATCCTGTATTCAAAAGAAATTAGATGCTTAGGAGTCTAAACACCTGTATGTCTTTGGAAAATGGGATTTTAGGAACTTTTAAAAAATTTACCCCATCTCTAATTTCTAGGAATCTAAACATCTTAAACATGATGCTGAGGGGATTATTTTCAGAAATGTGAAAACACCATTAAAAACAGTCTAACACAGAGGTTCTCGTAAAAAAAATTGGTAGCTTTAAAATGTAGCCACCAACTCTTGCTGGTGGAAACTATGACAGTTTTTCCTAAAAAAAAGTAATTAACATTAGGAGAAACATACGTGCATATTTATTTATATTCAAATCATAGTACTTTATTTAAGGTTTTTTTTGGCATACTCAACAATAAAGTTGTCTCCACACTGTGCATAAATAAAATAGAGACACAAATGAGATCTTCAGATGTTGTCTTTTGTTTTTGTTGTTTCTTTTGCTTTTTTGGTTGCATTTTTAACAGCTTGCTAGCTAGTAAGTTTGCTTCTGTGAAAAGTGATATGCATATGTTTGTTAATACATCACTTTTCAAAGCAGCAGACTTTCTGTAACAGTGGTGATGAGTAAAGGGGAGAAAGAACTTAAAAGCTGTGATGTTCTGCTTAGTAACAAAAAGGTGAGACTTTCTGGGACAAATGTTTTAAACAGTCAATTTTAAACTAATTTTAATACAAAATAGTTAATAAATATATCGGAACGTTCTCATAATTGGTTTTCTTTACCAAGAATTTATGAGCTGTAAATAGAGGGTGCCATGCCAAATTATTTATAAAAAACAAAGAGGTTGAATCTGTGCTGAAAAGCAAGAATTCATTGTAAGGTGATGTCAAGAACATCATTCTTTTAATATATTATATTTTATATTATGAGAAATAAATTTAAAAAAATCAGAAATAAACATTGATCCTATCAACATCTAATAAACTATGTACATTATCATAGTACAATATACAACAAAAATGCAAATCAAAATTAACCAGTTGAAAGCTCATTTATTTTTAACAGTCAAAAATATTCTTACCACCATCATTACCATAGCTCCCTGGGTTGTATGGAGAACCTGGGTGAGGTTTCGGACGATCGTCTATTAGCAATACAAATGTTCAAAATTTTAATAACTTTTTCAAACATTTACCTTTGGGGCAAAACTTGTACACATTTGGGCAGATGTGTTTTTGCGCAAGAGGTTTTTGCACAAAAAGGAGCCATCTACATACTGCCTTTTTGCACAAAAACCAGGTCTTGTGCAAGAGCCATTCTTCCTCATTTTTTCAGGAAGGATTGCTTTTGCACAAGAGAGGGTTTTTGCGTAAAAACATCTTATGCAAAAACAGCTCCTAATTAATTATGCAAATTAAGCACTGCAATATGCTAATCCGCACTTCATTTGCATAGGCTTTTGCGCAAGGAGAAAGCAGTGTAGACGTAGCCTTGTTCTCAGCTCAGGAACATAGTTTTAGACTGAGCAAAAACTGTTCAGCTATTTTTAGTAGGAATATGGTGAGGGGTGGGGAGCTTTTACCAGAGTGCCCAAATATCTCATATACCTTTCTGGGGTCTAGTGAAAATCAGTTTTGTTTTGGAGAAGTTATAAAAAAAATTTTAAATGCTTCATGCATATACATTGTTTTTCGTTATACAATAAACTAACAATCTGCCAACATTCCATTGCCACTGCATATATGTGCCTGAGAGTGGAATGGAATTTTCCATTCAATAGACAATCTCTCAACTTCTAGTGCAGTTACACATGCATAAAAAAATTGAGTGGAATTTCATTTAGAGAGTGCAGGTCTGTGTGAAATATGTTTTTTGAGGGTGATTGTGGAATGAGGTGGAGCTCTCAAAAGATGTGACTCCTTCTGAATAATATGTAAAGGTATGAGGAGGGACTCATTAATCTTAAAATACCCTACCCTATTCACTGTAGTGTAATGAAGTGGGGAAAGTGCGAGAGTACAGTAAGAGTGGTGATATCCAGCCCATTACCACCAAGAAAACTCTATACACTGGCAGTTCTTATCTTCATTGAAAGTCTAGTTTATAGACTGGTTGGCCAGCAGGCTCCCTACCTAGCTCTGTGCAGCTCCTTGGAAGAGGTGACCTGTCCCTGCTGCTTTTAAGTGGAGGAAGAGTCATTGGGGCTCAGTGCACTGCCTCTGCCCACAGGTGCGACCTCCACAGCTCCCATTGGTCATGGTTCCCAGCCAATGGGAGCTGCAGAGCCACTACTTGTGTAGGATGGGGAAAGGACAGTGCACAGAGGCCCTGTGACCATTTCTCTGTCTAAGAGAGCAGGGACATTTGCCACTGCCAGTGAGCTGCCCAAGGTGAGCGTTGCCCAGATCCAGCATCCCAAACCCCCACACTGCCCCAAAGCTCTGCCTCGAAGTCTCTCCCTCCCCCAAACTTCCTCCCAGAGCACATGTCCTTCTCCCTTCCTACTGCCCAGACCGGAATCTCATCCTGGACCCAAAATGCCTCATCAAGTACTAATCCTGCATCTTTCCTGCACTCTGAACCCCTCGACCCTAGTCTGGAGGTAGAGCCCACATCCTCAGCCCAGGTCCCATACCTCTTCCCACATCCCATCCCCCTGCCTCAGCCCAGAGCCCCCTCCCACACTCTAAACTTTTAGTTAACTAGAATATTTGACTAACCAGCACCTCCCATTTCCCTAACATGCCAGATAACAACCCTTTTACTGTGTATCTATCTAGATTTTTATGAGGTAGCCTGTCACTGAGATAATTGAGGCAGGGGTCCTGCTCCGTGCACTATATTATTTGTTCAGTGTACATTGTGAGAGACAGAAGTAAGAAAGGAATTTTGGCTTCATGCAATGTAGGGGCTGGGCCACTGTGCAATGTATAAAACATGAAGCCACATGCTGAATAGTGATGATACAAATATTTAACTGCTGCCATATGCATAAAACAATGTCCAACTTGTGCACTGAATCAGGCAGAATTCCTGTACAGAAAAATAAACCCTGTGATTATGTAGCGAAAACCTATTCCATATTGCATAGTCACAAGGGAGCTAAATTAAGACTGCATGGCAACCTTATCCATGACATTTCCTAATTCCTGAAAGCTTCATTATAGAACTCTAATTTTCTCTTAGTGTACCATGTGGAATATCATGATCAAATAAAAAAGCATTTTTAAATGGAGAGAATGAGGGGGGAAATGTCACCTCCAATTTCCTCCAGAGTTTATGATTTTAAAACTTGCCAGTCTTCCTTTATCCTCCACAGCTCATTTCTCTTCTTCTGCAAAGCCTGTTATAGCATTACCAAAAGCCACACTGACAACTGAATGCCAGAAGAGAGGGCCTTTCAAATTTTAAAAAGACTCACATGTGTAAGACTTTAGTCTCCAATGCAGATAAAAAAATTGAAGTAATTTTTGTGGACTTGTCTTTTCCCGGACACAAATGTTTAGTAAAACAAAAGCTACAGTTGCTTATTTGTATGTTCCTTGGGAATTTCAGGGCAGGTAAGAGATTACCAAGAATTATCAGCCAATAAAATTGCATTGTTGTCCAATCACTGTAAAAAGCCATATTGAAGCTCTTATTATGGATAAATTTTGAAGAGAGTTCCTTCAATACTTTATTTTTAGCCTGTACTTGATACTTAGAACATTATTGCACAACCCTGATTCAGAACTGCCCTTGGCACACATCACCCTGAATCTTATAGAAACTACAGACCAGAGATCTTTGTCATGACCCTTTAGCCAATTTAAATTTCTTACTCACCAATCACTGGCCTTTTGGTAACTGGTGCTGGCTTCTTAGTAATTGTTTCCTCTATGAGACACAGTGAAACAAGAAAATCAATACACACTGAAACATTTTCAGTTAATCAAAGGGAGATATCTGTACATTTTGATAAATATTCTATATAAAGGAAAATTAAGCATCACTGAGGCCACAAAGTTAGTGTTATGACCAAGATTTTTTTAAATAAAATCTGAATTCAAGCAATTTTTAAAAAAATAGCCTGATTATCAAAGTGCTTAAATAAATGAGTTTTAACACAAACCATGTTGTGGTCCAGATCTCACAAAATGGAAAAATGTATTTCAGATGTAGCAATAATTTTAAACATAATAGGGCAAACAAAATTTTTTATTGTTTGAGCTTTTTGTAGTATTACTTACCTGGATGATCAAGAGCATCAGCTAAATCAAAATCATCTTGACCTACCAAAAGAAATCATGCATTAATGTCAGTATGTAGGTACATTAGGGTTATGTCTGTGTCGGTTATTGTTGTATTAATTTGTGTGTGTGTGTGATTCCCAGCCAGATTTCTGCTGATAAGGCATAGGAGATACCATCACTGGAGATATTTAAGAGTGGGCTAGATAGGCATCTATTAGGGATGATCTAGATGGTGCGTGCCACTGCCGTGAGATCAGGGGGAACTGGACTTGATGATCTCTTGAGGTCATAGAATCCTAGCGTTGGAAGAAACCTCGGGAGGTCATCGAGCCCAACTTTCTGCCCAAAGCAGGACCAACCCCAATTAAATCATTACAACCAGGGCTGTATCAAGCCGGGACTTAAAAACCACTAGGGATGGAGATACCACCCCCTCCCTAGGGAACCCATTCCAGTGCTTCACCACTCTCCTAATATCCAATCTAGACCTCTCCCACTGCAACTTGAGACTACTGCTCCTCGTTCTGCCATCTGTCACCACTGAAAACAGCCTCTTTCCATCCTTTTTAGAAGCCCCTTTCAGATAGTTAAAGGCTGCTATCAAATCCCCCCTCACTCTTCTCTTTTGCAGACTAAATAAACCTAAATCCCTCAGCCTCCTCTCATAAGTCATGTGCTCCAGCCTCCTAATCATTTTTGTTGCCCTCTGCTGGACTTTCTCCAATGCGTCCACATCCTTTCTGAAACGGGGGCCCAGAACTAGATGCAATACTCCAGGTGTGGCTTCACCAGTGCCAAATAAAGGGGAATAATCACTTCTCTAGATCTACAGGCAATGCTTGTCCTAATGTACCCTAATATGCCATTAGCCTTTTAGGTCTCTTCCATTTCTAGTATTCTGTGATTCAGGCACCTGGTGGTGAAAAGTCCAATAGAGAGGTACATGCCAGAAGAAACTGTTCATGATCTGCAATCTGCTGGGGATGGGCTTGGGTCATGATCACACAAACTAACACGTTTTGTTCAAAACTTGAATAGAACAGGAAGGATTTGGCCCATAATAACATCCTGGATTCAAGCAATATGTAAAAATGCCTTTGAAGAGAATGCTTTGCTTATTATGGAAAGCAAGTACACAAGCCAGAAGCCCACAGTGTGTCCAAATAAACAGAAACAAGATTTTCAACAAAACCTTCAAAACCTTCAGAGTGGCATTCTATATCCACATCCTAGGTCAGCTAGAGATTGGTGAGTCTGCTTACAGCCTTGGCTATATGAAATGTATCTTTTAGTTCAGGCAGTGGCAGCTGCTACATCAAGCTCCATCCGTTCCAGATATCTTCCCCCCCCCAGCCAGAACCCCAGTGTGGATAAGCATCCCCAGAGGCATGTTATACTACAACCAGGAGAAGTGATTTTAATAAATTCATTACTCTTTAAACAGCTCAGCTTTAGAGACCTGGTTTAAAGTTTTACAGATTGAAATCACTTGTAAATTACATCTGCACATTTTAACTTCTTCCTCTGACATGTGGTAGCATTTACAGCTGTCAAAGCATGTTTGTTGCCTATACCCATATGGTCTCCACTGCGCTCTGAAATGTCTAAAGGAAAAACAACATCTTCCTGCTCTGTTTGAGGTGTTAGATATGTCATTAATTGTTACAAGAGAAAAAATGCGCCCATGACATGAAAACTTGACCAGAAAATAAAGCTGAGACAGATTTAAAATATTTATCCTAAAAGCGTGTAACTGAGTCTACTACAGGAACTGTTTCTGATTTGATATTTCTTTTTTTGTTGTTGTGGTTGGCATTTTTTTGCTTTAATTGTAAAGGTTTTGTAGACCACCTCTTTAGGAAATAAACAAACATTGACTGTTTGGGCTATCCTAGGGCCGCCTTTATGACTTTCATGGGCCCTAAGCACTTTTGCCTTTGTGGGCCCCTCCCACCATAATAATATCAATATTAAAAATTATTTTTGATATAACTTTAAATACTTCAACATTTTTTTTCTGTTTTAGGCAAAATTTAATAGATTTTCATGGGCTCTAAAAGTTTCATTTTTTTCTGATGTGAGAAAAAAATTAAAACATTTTTTTCAACCCTAAAAGTTCATTTTTTTTCTTCTGATTTTAAAAGAAATTAAAACATATTTGTGGGCCCATAAAAGTATTGTGGGCCCTAGGCACTGTGCCTAATGGATAAGTCGGCCTTGGGCTATCCAGATACTCTGGAGTGGAAGAAGACAAACACCAGAACAGCTGGCACAAGCTGAAAAACAAAGATTTTCTGGGATCATGACTTTTATTCCCATGTCTGCCACTGACTTTCTGTCATTAGAGGCAAGTCATTAGATGTGAGATAATAATACTAGGATGTTATATAGCATTTTTCATCAGTAGGTCTTCAAATGCTATAAAAAGGGGGTCAGTATCAAGGTTCCCTCTCAGCTACATGGCCTGCAGCTGCACAGTTACCTAATAAGCCCCACTCAGAAGCTCAGGGACACTGCCCATGGAGCTAAAACCTGCCTTTACTCTGTCACACAGCCCCAGCTTCCTGCCTTGAGCCCATTCCCACACTCGAAAGCCCTTGGCCTCATCATGGAGCTCCATCCTGCACCCTAAATACCTCATCCCCAGCCCCACCCCAGAGTCCACATGCTCAGCCAGAGTCCTCATGCCCCCAACCCTAAGCCCCTTCCTACTCTCTGAACCCCTTGCCCCCAACCCCACCACAGATTGCCCATGTGCAGAATGAAATTTGTTATGTGCACCAGTGTTTCCTCTAAGATTTTCCATCCTTGGGCGGATTGAATTTTCTTTTGGGCTGGTTGAAATTTCTTATGTGCAACACCGATGTTGAGGTAATGTGTGGATGTGCACCCACCAGTACAAACTACAACCGTAGATCTAAATATATTTTAAATAGTCCATCGGTGTGAAAGAAAATATATTAAAACAAGGGATAATTAACAAGGAGCAATGCTCATGATTATTTAATATGAAATCAACTAAAAAGAAAATTAACACTTCTCTTGGCTGAAGAAGTGGGTTTGCCCACAAACGCTCATTATACTGTTTATGTACATTAGTTAGCCTAGGGTGCTTCAAGACCATTGTTGGTTTTTAAGTTCTTTTAGTAACAGATTAACACGGCGACTCCTCTGAGACCTTGGAGTACATGTATCATCATCCTTTCTAACAGACAGATACATGTTTCCAAGATCTTGAAAATAAGGTTTCATCCTACAAGACAGCTAGCATCACACCTAGTATTTGCAATTTCTGACTCATAAGAGCCAGAACTCTACCAGATAGCAAAGATCTGGCCTTAATGCAATACAGTTTATCATATATTAATTCGTTACACAGGATTTTAAAAAAATCATTAAGATCAGATATCTGCAACACTCAAAAAAATCTGTTAAAATAATCTTTTTCTTTCTTACCTCAAGCCATTAAGGGGTGGGCAATAATTTTTGATGGGGGTCCACTCCAAAGAATTTCATAAGTGGTTGAAGGCTACACTCTTCCATGATATTAAAGGAGAAGGTGCGGGGGTCTGGCATTAAGGTTGGGTGCAAAAGGGAGCTTGGGGTAAGGGATTGGGTTGTGGGATCTGGGAGGGAGTTTGGGTGAAGTGGGGGATCGTGACCTGGGGCAATGGATTTGCGTGAGGAGGGGGTACAGGGCTTGGAGAGGGTTGTGACCAGGGTTAGGAGTACAGGAGGGGGTGACCTATCCAGATACTCTGGAGTGGAAGAAGACAAACACCAGAACAGCTGGCACAAGCTGAAAAACAAAGATTTTCTGGGATCATGACTTTTATTCCCATGTCTGCCACTGACTTTCTGTCATTAGAGGCAAGTCATTAGATGTGAGATAATAATACTAGGATGTTATATAGCATTTTTCATCAGTAGGTCTTCAAATGCTATAAAAAGGGGGTCAGTATCAAGGTTCCCTCTCAGCTACATGGCCTGCAGCTGCACAGTTACCTAATAAGCCCCACTCAGAAGCTCAGGGACACTGCCCATGGAGCTAAAACCTGCCTTTACTCTGTCACACAGCCCCAGCTTCCTGCCTTGAGCCCATTCCCACACTCGAAAGCCCTTGGCCTCATCATGGAGCTCCATCCTGCACCCTAAATACCTCATCCCCAGCCCCACCCCAGAGTCCTCACCTGGAGCCTCCCTGCTGCACCCTGAACCCTTCATTTATGTCCCCACCTTGGAACCAACACTTATGGCCCAGAGCCTGTACCCCCTCCCCACATGCCAAGTCTCTACCCATCAGGATGAAAATGAGCAAGATAGGGAGGAAAGGTGGGAGAGAGCAAGTGATGGGAAGAGGTGGGGGGGATGAAGTGAATGGGGATAGGGTCTTGCAGAAGGGATGGGGTCTTGAGAAGGGTGGGATGGGGAATGGTGTTGACAACCCTGGTTTCCACCGGCACCTCAGGTCCCTATTAGATTATAAGCTCTCTAGGGGTATGTCTACACTACCTACAACCGTAGATCTAAATATATTTTAAATAGTCCATCGGTGTGAAAGAAAATATATTAAAACAAGGGATAATTAACAAGGAGCAATGCTCATGATTATTTAATATGAAATCAACTAAAAAGAAAATTAACACTTCTCTTGGCTGAAGAAGTGGGTTTGCCCACAAACGCTCATTATACTGTTTATGTACATTAGTTAGCCTAGGGTGCTTCAAGACCATTGTTGGTTTTTAAGTTCTTTTAGTAACAGATTAACACGGCGACTCCTCTGAGACCTTGGAGTACATGTATCATCATCCTTTCTAACAGACAGATACATGTTTCCAAGATCTTGAAAATAAGGTTTCATCCTACAAGACAGCTAGCATCACACCTAGTATTTGCAATTTCTGACTCATAAGAGCCAGAACTCTACCAGATAGCAAAGATCTGGCCTTAATGCAATACAGTTTATCATATATTAATTCGTTACACAGGATTTTAAAAAAATCATTAAGATCAGATATCTGCAACACTCAAAAAAATCTGTTAAAATAATCTTTTTCTTTCTTACCTCAAGCCATTAAGGGGTGGGCAATAATTTTTGATGGGGGTCCACTCCAAAGAATTTCATAAGTGGTTGAAGGCTACACTCTTCCATGATATTAAAGGAGAAGGTGCGGGGGTCTGGCATTAAGGTTGGGTGCAAAAGGGAGCTTGGGGTAAGGGATTGGGTTGTGGGATCTGGGAGGGAGTTTGGGTGAAGTGGGGGATCGTGACCTGGGGCAATGGATTTGCGTGAGGAGGGGGTACAGGGCTTGGAGAGGGTTGTGACCAGGGTTAGGAGTACAGGAGGGGGTGACCAGGGATAGTAGATTGGGGTACAAGGTCTGAGAGGGGGCTGTGTCCTGAGGAAGGGTGTAGGAGGGGATGCAATGTCTGGGAAGGTGTATGGGGGCTGGAGCAGGGATGCAAAGGTTTGGGTTACATGGGGTAGGAGGACAGAAGTGGAACAGAGGGTTGGGGGAGGGAAGGAGGAGCTGGGGGCCAGAGATAGGCTCTTGCTGGGAGACCTTACCTGACTGCTAGCCAGAAACCCAGAAGGTTCCTTAGCCAGGGTCCCTGCCTTCTAGCCCCTGTACATGTTCAGGGGAGCTGCAGAAGCCATGTTTATTGCTCTAAACTGAATGCAGTAAGCCTGGGGGATGAAGGAGGAAGGGCACTTCATGTGCTCCCTGTCCTGCAGCTGCTATTGGTCGAAACCAGCTAATGCAGGGGTGGGCAAAAGGGCCTCTGTGGGCTGGATTTGGCCCGCTAAGTGGGTGGATCTGGCCCATGGAGGCTCTGATGCTCCCCTGTCCCCAGGCCTTAATTGGCCTGGGGGCAGGGGAATGTGTGAAGCCTCCTCCCACCCTGACAGGAGCATGTGGCACTTAGAAGTGCTGCAGGCTCTTCGCAGGGCCAGGGCAGGGCGAAGGAAGTTTCATGCAGCTCCCCCGCCCGCAGACCCTGATTGGCCTGGGGGCCGGGAGCACACATCACCCTGAATCTTATAGAAACTACAGACCAGAGATCTTTGTCATGACCCTTTAGCCAATTTAAATTTCTTACTCACCAATCACTGGCCTTTTGGTAACTGGTGCTGGCTTCTTAGTAATTGTTTCCTCTATGAGACACAGTGAAACAAGAAAATCAATACACACTGAAACATTTTCAGTTAATCAAAGGGAGATATCTGTACATTTTGATAAATATTCTATATAAAGGAAAATTAAGCATCACTGAGGCCACAAAGTTAGTGTTATGACCAAGATTTTTTTAAATAAAATCTGAATTCAAGCAATTTTTAAAAAAATAGCCTGATTATCAAAGTGCTTAAATAAATGAGTTTTAACACAAACCATGTTGTGGTCCAGATCTCACAAAATGGAAAAATGTATTTCAGATGTAGCAATAATTTTAAACATAATAGGGCAAACAAAATTTTTTATTGTTTGAGCTTTTTGTAGTATTACTTACCTGGATGATCAAGAGCATCAGCTAAATCAAAATCATCTTGACCTACCAAAAGAAATCATGCATTAATGTCAGTATGTAGGTACATTAGGGTTATGTCTGTGTCGGTTATTGTTGTATTAATTTGTGTGTGTGTGTGATTCCCAGCCAGATTTCTGCTGATAAGGCATAGGAGATACCATCACTGGAGATATTTAAGAGTGGGCTAGATAGGCATCTATTAGGGATGATCTAGATGGTGCGTGCCACTGCCGTGAGATCAGGGGGAACTGGACTTGATGATCTCTTGAGGTCATAGAATCCTAGCGTTGGAAGAAACCTCGGGAGGTCATCGAGCCCAACTTTCTGCCCAAAGCAGGACCAACCCCAATTAAATCATTACAACCAGGGCTGTATCAAGCCGGGACTTAAAAACCACTAGGGATGGAGATACCACCCCCTCCCTAGGGAACCCATTCCAGTGCTTCACCACTCTCCTAATATCCAATCTAGACCTCTCCCACTGCAACTTGAGACTACTGCTCCTCGTTCTGCCATCTGTCACCACTGAAAACAGCCTCTTTCCATCCTTTTTAGAAGCCCCTTTCAGATAGTTAAAGGCTGCTATCAAATCCCCCCTCACTCTTCTCTTTTGCAGACTAAATAAACCTAAATCCCTCAGCCTCCTCTCATAAGTCATGTGCTCCAGCCTCCTAATCATTTTTGTTGCCCTCTGCTGGACTTTCTCCAATGCGTCCACATCCTTTCTGAAACGGGGGCCCAGAACTAGATGCAATACTCCAGGTGTGGCTTCACCAGTGCCAAATAAAGGGGAATAATCACTTCTCTAGATCTACAGGCAATGCTTGTCCTAATGTACCCTAATATGCCATTAGCCTTTTAGGTCTCTTCCATTTCTAGTATTCTGTGATTCAGGCACCTGGTGGTGAAAAGTCCAATAGAGAGGTACATGCCAGAAGAAACTGTTCATGATCTGCAATCTGCTGGGGATGGGCTTGGGTCATGATCACACAAACTAACACGTTTTGTTCAAAACTTGAATAGAACAGGAAGGATTTGGCCCATAATAACATCCTGGATTCAAGCAATATGTAAAAATGCCTTTGAAGAGAATGCTTTGCTTATTATGGAAAGCAAGTACACAAGCCAGAAGCCCACAGTGTGTCCAAATAAACAGAAACAAGATTTTCAACAAAACCTTCAAAACCTTCAGAGTGGCATTCTATATCCACATCCTAGGTCAGCTAGAGATTGGTGAGTCTGCTTACAGCCTTGGCTATATGAAATGTATCTTTTAGTTCAGGCAGTGGCAGCTGCTACATCAAGCTCCATCCGTTCCAGATATCTTCCCCCCCCCAGCCAGAACCCCAGTGTGGATAAGCATCCCCAGAGGCATGTTATACTACAACCAGGAGAAGTGATTTTAATAAATTCATTACTCTTTAAACAGCTCAGCTTTAGAGACCTGGTTTAAAGTTTTACAGATTGAAATCACTTGTAAATTACATCTGCACATTTTAACTTCTTCCTCTGACATGTGGTAGCATTTACAGCTGTCAAAGCATGTTTGTTGCCTATACCCATATGGTCTCCACTGCGCTCTGAAATGTCTAAAGGAAAAACAACATCTTCCTGCTCTGTTTGAGGTGTTAGATATGTCATTAATTGTTACAAGAGAAAAAATGCGCCCATGACATGAAAACTTGACCAGAAAATAAAGCTGAGACAGATTTAAAATATTTATCCTAAAAGCGTGTAACTGAGTCTACTACAGGAACTGTTTCTGATTTGATATTTCTTTTTTTGTTGTTGTGGTTGGCATTTTTTTGCTTTAATTGTAAAGGTTTTGTAGACCACCTCTTTAGGAAATAAACAAACATTGACTGTTTGGGCTATCCTAGGGCCGCCTTTATGACTTTCATGGGCCCTAAGCACTTTTGCCTTTGTGGGCCCCTCCCACCATAATAATATCAATATTAAAAATTATTTTTGATATAACTTTAAATACTTCAACATTTTTTTTCTGTTTTAGGCAAAATTTAATAGATTTTCATGGGCTCTAAAAGTTTCATTTTTTTCTGATGTGAGAAAAAAATTAAAACATTTTTTTCAACCCTAAAAGTTCATTTTTTTTCTTCTGATTTTAAAAGAAATTAAAACATATTTGTGGGCCCATAAAAGTATTGTGGGCCCTAGGCACTGTGCCTAATGGATAAGTCGGCCTTGGGCTATCCAGATACTCTGGAGTGGAAGAAGACAAACACCAGAACAGCTGGCACAAGCTGAAAAACAAAGATTTTCTGGGATCATGACTTTTATTCCCATGTCTGCCACTGACTTTCTGTCATTAGAGGCAAGTCATTAGATGTGAGATAATAATACTAGGATGTTATATAGCATTTTTCATCAGTAGGTCTTCAAATGCTATAAAAAGGGGGTCAGTATCAAGGTTCCCTCTCAGCTACATGGCCTGCAGCTGCACAGTTACCTAATAAGCCCCACTCAGAAGCTCAGGGACACTGCCCATGGAGCTAAAACCTGCCTTTACTCTGTCACACAGCCCCAGCTTCCTGCCTTGAGCCCATTCCCACACTCGAAAGCCCTTGGCCTCATCATGGAGCTCCATCCTGCACCCTAAATACCTCATCCCCAGCCCCACCCCAGAGTCCACATGCTCAGCCAGAGTCCTCATGCCCCCAACCCTAAGCCCCTTCCTACTCTCTGAACCCCTTGCCCCCAACCCCACCACAGATTGCCCATGTGCAGAATGAAATTTGTTATGTGCACCAGTGTTTCCTCTAAGATTTTCCATCCTTGGGCGGATTGAATTTTCTTTTGGGCTGGTTGAAATTTCTTATGTGCAACACCGATGTTGAGGTAATGTGTGGATGTGCACCCACCAGTACAAACTACAACCGTAGATCTAAATATATTTTAAATAGTCCATCGGTGTGAAAGAAAATATATTAAAACAAGGGATAATTAACAAGGAGCAATGCTCATGATTATTTAATATGAAATCAACTAAAAAGAAAATTAACACTTCTCTTGGCTGAAGAAGTGGGTTTGCCCACAAACGCTCATTATACTGTTTATGTACATTAGTTAGCCTAGGGTGCTTCAAGACCATTGTTGGTTTTTAAGTTCTTTTAGTAACAGATTAACACGGCGACTCCTCTGAGACCTTGGAGTACATGTATCATCATCCTTTCTAACAGACAGATACATGTTTCCAAGATCTTGAAAATAAGGTTTCATCCTACAAGACAGCTAGCATCACACCTAGTATTTGCAATTTCTGACTCATAAGAGCCAGAACTCTACCAGATAGCAAAGATCTGGCCTTAATGCAATACAGTTTATCATATATTAATTCGTTACACAGGATTTTAAAAAAATCATTAAGATCAGATATCTGCAACACTCAAAAAAATCTGTTAAAATAATCTTTTTCTTTCTTACCTCAAGCCATTAAGGGGTGGGCAATAATTTTTGATGGGGGTCCACTCCAAAGAATTTCATAAGTGGTTGAAGGCTACACTCTTCCATGATATTAAAGGAGAAGGTGCGGGGGTCTGGCATTAAGGTTGGGTGCAAAAGGGAGCTTGGGGTAAGGGATTGGGTTGTGGGATCTGGGAGGGAGTTTGGGTGAAGTGGGGGATCGTGACCTGGGGCAATGGATTTGCGTGAGGAGGGGGTACAGGGCTTGGAGAGGGTTGTGACCAGGGTTAGGAGTACAGGAGGGGGTGACCAGGGATAGTAGATTGGGGTACAAGGTCTGAGAGGGGGCTGTGTCCTGAGGAAGGGTGTAGGAGGGGATGCAATGTCTGGGAAGGTGTATGGGGGCTGGAGCAGGGATGCAAAGGTTTGGGTTACATGGGGTAGGAGGACAGAAGTGGAACAGAGGGTTGGGGGAGGGAAGGAGGAGCTGGGGGCCAGAGATAGGCTCTTGCTGGGAGACCTTACCTGACTGCTAGCCAGAAACCCAGAAGGTTCCTTAGCCAGGGTCCCTGCCTTCTAGCCCCTGTACATGTTCAGGGGAGCTGCAGAAGCCATGTTTATTGCTCTAAACTGAATGCAGTAAGCCTGGGGGATGAAGGAGGAAGGGCACTTCATGTGCTCCCTGTCCTGCAGCTGCTATTGGTCGAAACCAGCTAATGCAGGGGTGGGCAAAAGGGCCTCTGTGGGCTGGATTTGGCCCGCTAAGTGGGTGGATCTGGCCCATGGAGGCTCTGATGCTCCCCTGTCCCCAGGCCTTAATTGGCCTGGGGGCAGGGGAATGTGTGAAGCCTCCTCCCACCCTGACAGGAGCAGCACCGCGTGCTGCTTGCAGGATGGTGGCTAGAGCAAAGGAAGCTTCACGGCTTCCCCGCCCCCAGGCCAATTAGAGTCTGAATGCGGGGGAGCTGCATGAAGCTTCCTTTGCCCTGCCCTGGCCCTACGGGGAGGGCGCTTCCCGCACTCCCCTGCTCCCAGGCCCTGATTGGGCTGAGGGTGGGGGGCCTGCCAAGCCTCTTCCAGGGCATGGATGCCTAATGGGAAGGGAACAAAGGGGCACCTCCACCCCCAACCACTCATGGTTTGGGGGTGGGGTAGCCCCGCCCCTTCCCGTTTATGCCCTGCCCCTTCTGGGGTGGACTGGGGCTACTTCAAAAATGTTTGGTTCCCAAGAAAAAATTATTGCCCACCCCTGAGCTAATGGGCGCTACTGGGGCTGGGGGCAGCATGAGAAGCCTGACTCCCCACCCTCCAGGCTCTCAGCATTCAGAAATACACATGTGGCTCTGCACCTGGCTTTCCTGAGTGCTGAGTGGGTGCGGGGCAGGCAGGGAGCTGGCTGAGGCGCTGCTTGCAGACCATCTTTTGCCCAGCCCTGGAGACTGGAGAGAGCTTCTCCATTTATAGCAGATAGCAGCAGCAGCTGCTTCTGTACCTCTGAGAGAGCGAGTGCCCCATTTCCCCACCTTTCCCAGCCGATCAGCTGAGCTTCCTGCCTGAGCTAGGACCTCTGAATCTCTACATGGTGCTGACAAAAGGACTGTGTA